AATATTATCTATTTTAATAATTATATATCTTACAATATTTTTAAAATTTTAATTAATAATAAATAAAATTTATCATATTTCATTTATAATATTTTTAAAAAAATAAATAACCAACCAATATAATAACTTTCAGTCACAGTGACAACTAAGCATAATCGCAACTATAACCACAGCACTTCACAGTAATTTCAAATATACCCTTAATCTCTTGTGATTGTCTCTACTCAGTTCTCAAAACCATTTTATTCTACTTACATATAACTATAGGAAACATCCATTTTGTATAGCTGATTCATTCTTTGTATATAGTTATTAGTAGCAGCCTATATTATAAAGAGTTGCTTTGTGTATGGTGAAAGTTTTGGTAATAAAACTAAATTTTACCAAAAAAAAATGTAGGGAATATCAAAAAAGTAAGAACTTTTTAGTATATGTCTTTAGCATATAGATCAATGATATATTTATTATATATTTATATAAAAAATAAAATTAATTTTAATTTTATTAACAATTTAATTAAAATACTTTACATAATATTAATATTAAAAATAAAATTTACTTTTATAATTTTTTTTTTTGAACAATGAAAATTTTCTTCGGGGGATGGGAAAGGGGGACTTAGGATTGAACTCAAGTTCAACTAGTTCTAAGTACATCCTGCCTTGCAGGGAGGCCAGTTGGCCTCCAATGCTGGACATTATTTTTATAATTTTTATATAAATTAAAAATGAAAAGGCATAACCGGTTGTAAGGATATTAGAAAATTCCTACATATAATAAGGAGAAGGCATTAATTTAGAGTAGGGTAGGGTGAAGATTAAAGGAAACTATCAGTTTGACGAATTTTAACAAAAAGGTTGGTGGACATGCAAAATTCAACAACACAATAAATGAGTGTGTGGAAGTTGGAGCACGCTAAAGTGAAAGGAATGGAAGACCGTAGACTTGTTAACTTAATTACCTACCCCGGTCCCTCATGGAAACACAAGTCCATTAACCAACCTTGGAAATCTTGTTTCCTGGAAGCATCCTATTAAAATTATTGAGAATGCAACAGAGAAAAGAAGACTGACCTTTGATTTTAATTATAAGCAGGAGCCCCTTGAATCCAAAACTAAAACAAGAAACAAACCATTAGCCTGATTTCTATCTAATTTATCTCCTTTTTATAATTTGATTAAGGAATAACCATTCTATCAAATGAATATTTTGATAAAAATTAAGAGTATCAAACTGGCAGAATTCAGATTTCAGTCTTATTTCTATTGTAGCTATCTTGTTCTTCATTCCTTATAAACTGGTTGCTGGAATCAAACAAGCAAAACACCAAAATGATACAATAAAACACACATAAATCACAATTCAGATTTTAGTCCTATCTAGTTTCATAGCAAGCTGCAGTTAGCTCTTCTTACAATAGAAGATGCAAACCACACAAACAGATTTTGATTTGTTATTTGTTATTATCATTACACCAGCAAGACAGGATAGATAAGCTGAGTCCTCGAAATGTGAAGAAGCATGTTGATGTAGCATCCCTTTTTTGATAAACTAAAGGTCTATCAAGTAGGGAATGTCCTTGCATAAGATAAAAATAAATAAATAAGGCAAAAAATGGCTATTTAATCAAAAGGCTCATTTTATATACTATTCCCAGGCTCAATAACAGTACAGAATAGATTGAAAATTATAGAGCCAAATGGAAGTTTTGGCCAGATACAGATTTGCCTTACTGATATTTCAAAGCATAGCTTACAGTTAGCATAGGACCTCCACCCACAAAAATTCTTAAGAATAACAGCCACTCTTCATTTCTACTATCTGAAATGGTGGGAATAACACCATGAGCTCACAGCCCAGTAAGCATAATCCTTAATCTTAGTATTTTATACAAAAATATCCCTTAAATTCCTAGTTGTATTGGCCTTATTGAAAATTAAGGCATTTAAGCCACAAAATGATCATACAAACACGGCACATCAAATAAGAATAACATAAATTATGGAGTCCATTGAAATATTAGGTGCAAGAGCTAGTCATAGCACTTACCTGCTGCGCAAAGGTTCACTAGTTTACTGTTCTAACCCCCAAGCCTAGGTTGGGGTTCAAACTCTCCATAGTTCTAAGACAATCACATCACAGAACCATATATAGCACATAATCATGCATAACAGATTCAATGTTTACTTAATATGATCTGTAGAACTAATAGAAATAGACTATAATGAAGTGCCCAGGTCAAATTCACAGTACATGGTCCAGAAAAGGGGCTATACATAACATATTAATCTCAAAACTTAAACTATAAAAATTTCTCAGTTTCAGCACATGAAATTTCTAGTTTAACTTACTTCTGTATTTATTTCTCTCTTCTGCTATATAACTTAAACTGCTGCACCTGAATTTCTTATGTTTATTCTGTTGTTTTATTTACCTTTAAACTTTGTTTGACAACCTTGACTTAAAATTAAGAATTACACTTACCACACAGTTTCTTCAAAATCTTGAGCTTGGCAGAATTCTTGAACATTCCCCAAGTCTACCCAGCCTATCTGCACTGTCCTTCTCCTTGTCCTTTGGTCCAGCTAGAGGCAAAATGAACTAATTTAATTAGATAATCCCAAACCTTTGGTCTAGTGGGTCTTAAATGCTCCTCCACTCGGCCCACTTCTCATTCAACCACTTGGCATTTATTCTAACAAGTTATAGACAGCTGGATTGCAGTACTCTCCCTAAAATAGACACTTGCTCTGCAGTTTATTAAAATAATATGCAAATCCCATAATTACAATTATTATAGATTAGTCCCTAATTCTAGATGAGATAAAGGACTCTTAACTTTAGACTTAATGCAAATTAAGACCTATTTTCTTTAAATAATTACAAATAAGAACTGGGATATCACAGTTGAAACTTAAAACAACCTCCTCAGGTGATTTACTCTGTTATTTTCAGTGAAGTAATGCAACATGATTGTGTGAAATGGTTATGTTGAAATTATGGGTGTACATAATTACTTGGAGTATGATTGGGTTAAAAAAATTACTTATTTGGACAATATGATTTTAATGAGCCCTATAATTCTTATCTTATTATGTGCTTAGCAAAAAAAAAAAAGGTTATAAAGCTATGAAAGTCTAACCTAAGGAAGATGACAGTTTGGAAATTTTGAACTGAAAGGTACAGTGGGCCAGATGGTTTGATCTTGGAATTCAACAATACAAATCAGAGTGTAGAACACGTTCAAGCAACTTAAAAGAAATGGAAGACCATTGACTTGTTGACTTGCCCACCCTGGTCTCTTTCTCTCAAGCTAGAAAACAAGACAGAATTGAATTAATCAACTTTGGAAATTTTAGTTTCCTCTCTCGGAAGCATCCATGCAAATACAAAACGAAGACTTGACCTTTGATTTATGAGCAGGAGCTCCTTAAATCAAAAACCTTAAAGAAAAATGAAATTTATGTTTCACCCAAAATCATTATTTTCACTTAGAGTAATAAGAACAAATTTAAGATTAATTTTTTTTTTTTGGTAAAAGGAGAAGATATATTAACTGGAAATAGTTCAACACATACGGGGAAATTCAATTCCCATAATATCAGCAATACAATACTGTTTGACAGATAGCGGAATGCTTTCAAAAATGACAAAATCATGATCAATGCCATGTCCGAGTTTCGCCATCTGGTCAGCAGCCATATTAGATTCACGGACAATGTGTTTGAGTTCAGCAAGGGGGATTTGTCGGAGCAACTCCCTGTAATAAAAAATTAAGGCACTCAGATTATGAGATGAAGGTGGGGGCTCTTGAAGGAGCTGGATAGCCACAAAAGAATTAGATTCCACAATAATATGAAAAAAGTTATGCATAATGGCCAATTGTAATCCATCTCTAATAGCCCAAAGTTCTGCTGCAAGGCTGTTAGACCAGCCAATTTTCCTAGCATATCCAAGCTTCCAGTTGCCATGGTGTTCACGAAAGATGCCCCCAGCAGCTGAGATGCCTGGATTCCCTTTGGTTGACCCATCCATGTTTAGTTTGATGACATTTGGGGGAGGTTTCGCCCATTTAAAGTTCTCCTCATGGTATATACGGGTAGCTTTTGGAATAGCAGAGGCCCAAAATTTCGCAGCTCTTTCAATAATTCTACTTCGGAGGTTATTGAGCTGGAACGGTTGGGGGGAATGAACAATTTGATTACGTTGGAGCTAGATTCCCCAAATGGCAAAGCAGAACAGAGTCTTCCAAGGGATGTTCAACACATTCGTCTTGAGCTTGTAGTGGGAATTAAATTTAAGCCAAGAAAAGAAGTCCAGGTCTTGTTGCTGCTGCGATGAGATATCAAGAAATAAATCCTGAAGGATAACGGTTGAGGAAGGGCATAGTCGGATAAGATGCTCCACTATTTCCTCTTCATCCTGGCAGCGAGGGCACATAGTAGTAGATGAAATACTTAGATGCTGTAAGAAACTGAAACATTTCAGTCTCTGGTGAGCCAATAGCCAAAAGAAATGTTGAATTTTTGGGATGGTTGGCAGCTTCCATATCCAATCCCACTCTTTTTCAGCAAAAGTAGAAGGATTTTTAAGAAGGCAGTAAGCAGAAGCAGCGGTGAAGGTACCTCTGGAAGTTCCCTTCCAAGCAAAAGAGTCCTCTCTATCATTAAAGATAGAGAGGGGGATAGCTTTGAGTCTGTTGGCGATATCATCAGGGAGATAGTAGGAGATAAGCTCAAAGGCATGATCACCTGCAGTGAAAAAATCTGAAACAGTGATAGATTTGAAATCCGGAGGGTGAGGGCCATACAACATAGAAACAAAAGGTATCTCTGTCGCCCAGTAGTTAGTCCAGAAGGAGATATTGGTGCCTGTATGAGGCACCCATTTCAGACCTGAACTAAAGAGATCATGGCCCTTAATTATAGCTTTTCATATAGGAGATCCAGTAGCAGCTGGTCTAGTGTGACAGTCCTGAATGTTATATTTACTTCTAAATATGCCACTCCAGACTTTATCTTTCTCCTGGTGAAGTCTCCAATTAAGTTTGCACATGGCAACAAGATTAACCTCTTTCGCACTTTTTAGGCCAAGACCACCCAAATGCTTTGGGCTAGAAACGATGTTCCAGTTAACTAGATGGATCTTCTTTTGCTCAACCTCTGAACCCCAAATAAAGTTACGAGAAATCTGATCAATTTCCTTTAGGGTAGAGGCTGGTAGCATAGAAGATTGCATATAATAATTTGGGACAGCTGCCAAGACTGACTTAGCAAGAGTAGTCCGACCTGCAAAGGAAAGAAAATTAGACTTCCAACCGGAGAGTTTGGCCCAGACTTTATCCACAATAAATTGACATTTGCTTCGGGTTAGTTTTTTAGCTGAAATAGGGACTCCAAGGTATTTTCCCAAGTCCTCAGTTTGGGAATATCCGAGAATGGAGCAAAGGTTATCTCTAATGTCTTGGCCAACATTCTTAGAAAAAAACACCTTGGATTTGGGATGATTAATCTTTTGGCCAGATCTCTCACAAAAAAATTGAAGGACATCCTTGAGGTGAAGACAATTAGATTCAGTAACTTTACCAATGAAAATGATGTCATCAGCAAAAAAGATATGAGAAAGGAAAGGACCCCTTATCCCAACTTTACTACCTTTCCATAGTCCAGCATCCATGTCTGCAGAGATTCTTATGGAAAGATACTCCATACAGAGGATAAAGATATAAGGTGAGAGCGGGTCTCCTTGACGAATACCCCGAGAAGGACAAAACTCTTCTGTTTTGTCTCCATTAATGAGAATGGAGATTGATGTAGAACTAATAGCAGACATGATAAGCTTGATAACATCGGGAGGGAACCGAAAGTATAGGAGAGTCTCATGAATAAAACCCCATTCCAACCTATCATATGCCTTCTCAAGATCAAGCTTACAAATCATGTCTCCTGTTTGCCCAGATATTTTTGAGAAGGAGTGAACAAGTTCTTGAAGGATCAAGACATTATCTGTACCTTGCCTGCCAGGAATAAAACTAGATTGGCATGGAGAGATAATCTTGTCCATCCAAGGTTTAATCCTGTGTACAAGGATCTTGGATATGATTTTGTAAACAGAATTGCACAAACTTATAGGCCTGAATTGATGAATATGCTCAGAACATTTAAGTTTAGGAATAAGGACTAGAAGACACTCATTCCATTTAGGAGGGATGCACCCATTCAGAAAAATATTCTTGATTTCAGAACTGATTTTTTCCCCAATAAAGGGCCACATGTGTTTATAAAAGAAGGGGTGGGTGCCATCTGGTCCCAGGGCCTTAAAGGATTTCAGAGAGTTAACAGCATCCCAAATTTCCTTATTGGATGGGCAACCCTTGATGGAATCCAGGCAATAAGAAGACTAAAATTGGCGATGAATTGACTGATATGAATCAGAGAATGAATAGGTATGAGATGTAGTGAATAGCTCAAAGAAGTACTCAATAGCAATGGACGCTAGTCCATTGCCATCAGAGATCCAATTACCCTGACTATTAAATAGGCCAAAGATCCTGTTTCGAGATCGATGTTTCAGAGTAGTGACATGAAAGAACCTAGTGTTTCTGTCACCATCAGCAATCCAATCCGCACGAGACTTCATAAACCAAAGATCAGTCTCCCAATTAAGAATATTATTATATTCTTGGAGGAGATCCCTTTCTAGATTCCAGAGGAAAGATGAAAAATTATAAGCATGGGACTTTTGAATCCCTTCAATACGAGCAAGCAATTTTTTCTTCTTTTTAAAGATATTTCCAAAAGTTGCCAAACTCCATGTTTTGGCACGATTCATAGTAAGTTCAACACATTTAGCAGTATTGGAGTTAATATCACCCCAAACTTGCTGGATAATGTTATAAAACTCAGGATGATCGATCCAAAATTTCTCAAGCCGAAATGGATGAGAACCAGATCGAGGACACAAGGGGTTGAGATCTAGTAAAATTGGGCAATGGTCAGAGTGAGTACGGGGTAAGTGAAATAGAGCAGCTTCAGGAAAGCTAAGTTTCCAATCAGGATTAGCCCAAGCTCTATCAAGCCTTTCTCTTATCAGCTGGCTAGAGAAACGCATGTTAACCCACGTAAAACGGTTTCCAATAAATCCCAAATCAACCATATTGCAATTGTTCATACAATCAAGATAGGCCTGGGCCCAAGTTTGGGATATAACATTCCCACCAAACTTTTCACTCTGATCTACTATGTCATTAAAATCCCCAATAATCATCCATGGGCCTTGGATGATATTATCCATGGCAGATAACTCTTGCCATAGCATGTTTCTGATTTCAGATTGAGGCCTACCATAAATGCTAGAGAAAAACCAATTAAACGGAAATAAAGGATTGTTACTAACCTAAATAACTGCATGTATTGCTTGGTTGCTAGTTGACAGAATATCCACCGAAATCCTAAAGTCGTCCCATAACAGCCATAAGCCTCCAGCAAGACCATCTGAGTTAACAATGCAAGATTTAGGGAAGCCAAGAGAATCCGCTACATCCTAAGCATTAGAACCAGAAATTTTTGTTTCCAAGATAAGGAGCATGGTTGGATTGTGAATCCTTTTAAGATCCATGACACATTTACGAAATCCAGCTTTAAGTGCCCCACGGCAATTCCAAGAGATAACCTTCATTGACCAATCAAGAGTGGTTGATAGCCCCAACGCTATCTAGGCTCTCAGCGGGTTGGACACCGACAATAGGGACTGGAATGTCCATGAGAGGTACCTGGCTAGGGGAAAATGGTATGGTAAGAAAAGAAGTTGGAAGTCTCTCTCGATGTGGGTCTCCAGTGACCACAGGACTTTCAGTATCAGGTGGATGCGTTCCACTTTCCCCTCTATTTGGACAAACTTCAAGTGGTTTAGATAAGCCGAACTTGTCAATAGCAGGGGCTTGATAAGGCTCGACTCCACGCCGTGTATAGTGGCGTCTTCTGTCGATTCGAGATTCCTGATCTGACATGACTCTTTTAAATCTGAATTTTCCTCGGCTGGGGGGATCAAGTGAGCCATCTCTGGGAGGTTCATCTCCATGTTCGTGAGAATGGGGGCTCTCCACGCTGTGAACAATTGATTCAGTGACCATTTGGATCCCCTGGGGGATGAGCAATCCAGTATCCACTCCACGGTTGTCTCCATCCGGACGGTCAATCGTTCCTTTACCAAAAACATTTGGGTTTTCGGATCTAGATGGAGAATTTGAGACAGATCCATGGTTAAGCAAAGGTTGGGTAAAGTTTTGTGGGAGTGGGGTTTGGGGATCAATTCCAGAGGTGCTGGTGAAGGTAGAGTGAATAGGGGTAATAGGATTAGGCTGAACCAAAATAGGAGAGCTAATAGTGGGGTCTTGATGGGGGATAGAAAGCTTTTGAGTTACAGAACCAAGATTAGGTTCGGAGGCAATACTCTGATGAGTGGGTAGGGCCTGGGTAGGAGAGTTCTTTGACTTGGATTTGGGCTCTTGAATGGTGATGCTCTTGGGTGGGCCTTGTGCCTTACTAGAGGTTTTGCTGACCCATTGTTGGGTTTTGGGTTCTGGTTTGGAAAAATCCACTAGTGGGGCTTTGGCTTTTTGGACCGTTAAGCTTTGCTTCGAAGATAGATCAACATTTAAAGCACTGAGAACATTACCGTTCTGTTGATTTGACAGGGAGCTGTTGGTGACTCGTTGGGTTTTGGATCCGGTATACCGAGTTGAACCACCCGAGTCACAACCATCCTTTGCTTTGGGATTTGACAGTATCTTCTCCACCGTCGACAAGTTTGAAAGAGGTCTCCTTTTGGATCTGCGCCTCTCCACCAACAGCCAGGGGCCGTAATTATCCTTATCAAAGGATTTGCTAATATCAAATGTCTGCAAAATGGAGTTTGGGTTGGTAGGGGGGGTCACGGCCTTAACACTGGGGGATGTAGAGCTTGAGGCATGGGTTGACAAAGGCACAGGATTGGCAGCTTCTTTAATCATCTCAGATGTAGCATTGAGTTATGCGCATTGATTATTTCTATGGCCTATGCGTCCACAATGAAAACACAAAGCACTGACACCTTCATAAATGATCCTCTATTTTTTCTTTCCAATTCTAACATATTTGGCAACAGGTTGTGCGAGATCAATTTGGACACACACCCTTGCATACTGGCCCCTAGTATGATGTGCAGTATAAGCATCAACCCTGAGCAGAGGGCCTATCTTATTCCCAATCTTCTGGAGTGTAGTAGGATCGTAGTAGTCAGCTGAAAGATTAGGAAGTCTAGCCCAAACAGCTGTGGTGGTAGTAGTGCGAATAGCCTCTTTCGGATCAAAGTTAGGTTCCCACCTCCTCATGGTAAGGTAGTAAGGGCCAATGAACCACGGACCCCCCATGATAACTCTGCTCAGATCCTCATTGTCCTGAAATCGAACAAGAAAAAAGTCAAAACCGAGATCAATGAAATCCCATTTACCATTTGGTGGACTCTAGGAAAAATATAATTGTAGCCCAAAGGTTTAGGATGGAAAGCTTTGATAATGATAGCATTCATCCATGGTTCTCGGATTCTCCGTTTTTCTGCTCTTGATAATAAGACGATCGGAGGGAGCGTCATCCTCTGGATCATCATCAACATCTGATTCTTCATCCATATAACTGGGTATGGTATTAAAGGAGAGTATAGCTGGGTTCTCTTCCCCCATGAGTTTATCCTTGTAGGATAAGGGGTTTTGTGATTGATGGACCGGTGATGTTGCTGGTATTTGTGATTCTGACATTGGAGTGTCTTGGTGTTCCTCATCTACACTGGATAGTCATCGCCACATCCTCAGTAGACGAATTTGATGGCTCACCATTCAGAGGAGTGTCTCCCCTTCGTGAGCTCTCTGTAGAAGCATTTGTTTCAGATTCCTTGATCTTCTTAATACTCTGATCAAGCAGATCGGTTTCTTGAACAGAGGGGAAGTTTTCAAACAGAGAGAGCTTTTGTTGGACACTCATATCTTTTCATTGATCTACTATTCCAGAGATTGACTTTTTACAAATTTAAGATTAATTTAGCTGAACAAAAATGAAAACTGTCAAGGAAAAATGGACCAAATTTTACCTTTTGGTTCAACTATTTGAGTTTCGGAACCTTTCTGCTTGTGTATATAAATAGCTGCAATGGAACGCATAGATTGAACAATATCAACAGGGAACATAAAAGAATTAAAAATAACGCATTAATTTATTGTAGGTACACCATATATGATATGTTCTCCAGATTCTAACGTCAAGACCATTGAGTTGTTAATCAATAAGATTGGAATTTATTGTAGGTAGACTTGTATATATAAATGGACAACTTCGTGACCACCATAAGTTGGAATTTTCTCTGGATTCTCCTGTAAGTATGTACTTTTTCTAAAAGATATTGGATTGGAGAACTTGGTAGTGTGCACTGAATTCTTCTAAAGGAAAATTAATAAAAAACAGTGGGAGCGTGATGGAATATAAATACTACCACACTGTTTTCTATTTTTCCTGATGTAGCCAGAAAAGAAAAGCCTACCCAAATTCTACTTTTACAGATGGACTTAATCTAGCCGAAAAAGAAAAGCCTTCTTTTATAAGTCGTAATAAAATCTTAAAAGTAAACCTCACCATTCAAAAAAGTATAAAAGCGAGTTCAGGAGAAGTTCAATCATGCTAAGTGTTTTTGCTTTCTTAAACCCCTATCTGATTCCAATTATGAAAGTTTCAGAAACCTAGGGCTCCCTCTATATACTAGTGAAACATTTGATATTTCAGCAGTTAGGTTTCAGCAACTTTGTATAGGTTTACAGCCAACAACTCTGTACAACAAAAGACACAACCATCAAAACAGACTAACTTAACAAAATCAATATGTATAGGGCAAGATGCTGCCAAAGGAAAAAAAAAAAAAAAGGAAAGACAGACCATGTTTGTTGTTTTGACAACATATGATTGTTAAAAGATCACGTACAGTGGAACAGTCCAACGAACATCCCATAAAATCATTACTATTAAAGGTCATATAGCTTAAAGCTTCCATATCACTCTCTCAATGTGATAGGAATGGAATCTAACCAAGAAAAGAAAGAGAAACACCCCATTATAACATTTAGTAGCTAAGCTGCTAAGGTAAAACTGCCGAAAGCTATCAACAAATTATTAAGGACCAATGGGACCTGTTCAGATTAAATAAACACTTCATTGGAAGGTTTGCCGATGTTGTAACGCAGAGGTCAGGAAGTGAAGATTATTTTGCTATTGATCTTTTGAATTAGCTCCTCTCTCTAAGACACATTAGGAAAAAAATCCATTATAAAATTATTATGTGAAAGTGGTACTAAGCATTACACTGGCCCCTTTCTTGATAATATGCTCAATTATGCCACTTTTCTTACCTATTTTGTGATTCTGGAGTTTGCCTCTGTTAACTCAATGACAAATAATTAAGGACCATTGGGACCTGTTCAGATTAAATAAACACTTCATCAGAAGGTTTGTAGATGTTGTAATACAGAGTTCAAGAATTGAAGGCTACTTTGCTATTGATCTGTTGAAATAGCCACACTCTCTAAGACAAGTTAAAAAAAAAATTAAAAAAAAAATTAAAAAGAAAATTCCATTAATGACATTCTCTTGTGAAAGTGGTCAGAAGCATTACATTGGCCCCTTCATGATAATATTATGAATTATGCCACTTTTCTTACCTACTTTATAGTTCAGGAGTTTGCCTTTGTCACTGATACTAAATTATCCACCTCAGTCTTTAGATTCTCAAAAGACTAAAAAAAACAAGCAAATAATTCATTATCTTACAATGACTCAGGTTCACTAGAGCACAACCAAATGGTTAAGAGCTTCTCTCAAGTTTAAATCTTAAAATGGGCTGAGAGGGTCACTTTTGTAACAAACAAAAAATGCAGAAGTGGATTGCTTGCATTGTTGTTTTCATTGAAATATTGAACTTGCAATAAACAGACGTAGCACATAACATACCCACATCACAGAGAAAGCAACACCTCACCGTTGAGGCGAACCAGCAGTCCTTTTAACTCAAAAATAACCTGAAAGAAAAAAGTTGAAACCCCATGAGTTTTAGAACATTAACTGAATTATTTACAGAAAACAGAACTGATCATCTGTTATTTCTGGGGATGAGAGAAACAGGGGAAGAGAGAAAAGAAATTACCCGTTTGATTGACGAGTAGAATCTCAGACCCTCCACTTCCGCCATTTTTGTGAATTGTGAGGAAAAAAGGGATGCCGAGACAGAGAGAGAGGAACTTAGGAATTATTCGACATTTTAATCAACCATGTTTGGTGCCCCACCTAAAGCGTAAAACCCACTCCATTTTTTAACTCTCTTTATTTTCTGTTTGTACCTCACATTTCCATTGTTTAAAAATACAATAATAACTCCGTACATGCCCACCTCCTGACCCTCTGATTATTTAAAGATAAGATCTTTATATTAACATTAAAATTCTGAATTAGGATTTCCACACAGACTTTTATGTTTCTCTTTAATGTAACTTCGAAAACTTTTGATAAGGGAACTGGGAATTCAATTAAAATTGAAAATGAAGAATGTGAAAGAAACCCATATTGATTGCATCAAAATTGGTTGACTTAAAGCCTACAGAATTCAGATTGCATCTCAGTATTGCATCTCAGTTTCAAGCAACTCATTACAAACTAATACATGATATAAAATGAAAAAACAACCCATCTAAACACACCAATCTAATATGAACAATGTGGCTCTGAACAACTAACTATAAACCAGTTACAGACAAAAGAAAACTATGGTCCTGTTTCTCTGATTTTAATTAATCATCCATGTTTATCCTTTTGGCTTTGGCAAGGACCATTGGAAACACCTCATTTGTTTATTTAATTATTGCACTGCAAATTTGGCAGATGATGCTACAGTTATAAATAAAGGCCAAGAAGGGAAGGCTAATAACTATGTTAACTGCTATCAGATCATTAATTTCAAATTCTAGAAAAGATTTATTAAATAGAAGTAGTTGATAATTCATCATCTTCAAATGACTCAAACAACAGTACCAACAGCAAGAAAATGTTATCAAGCATATGATGGAATTGCTCTAACAAAATCAAAACCCATCTTATGGTTCTGCATCTTGCTCTTGTTACCTTAATGACAAGGCTCCTACTAGATTATCCACTCTAGTCTTTAGATTCTCATAAAGATTAAAAGAGC